AAACAACACATCAGGAAGGTTTTCAACTCGATGACGCATTGAAACACCATCCAATCGAGGAGGGGGATTGCCAAATTCAACCCAACCTTTAAAAAAATTAGTATGATCAAATCTGAAAGGATGTGACTAGGATAAAAACTGACAATGATAGTCAAAAAAAGATGGTTTATGCCCATGTTGTAGATAGAAAGATTGTGTCATCTCCATACAGTAAGGACAAGACAACCGGCCATGTGTGCTCCACCCAAACACCATGCCATAACCCGGAAAATCAATTTTGGTCCACATCAACATAGCACGCATTATGAAGTTTTGCTTACAATAACTATCATATGTTTCCACACCAGTTGACCATAACATTTTCAAGTTTTCAATTAAAGGTCGAAGAAATACATCAATATTTCTACCTAGGCTTTTTAGACCTGCAATGACCAATGTAAGAAATGTAAACTCCGGTCGCATGCACATCTCAGGTGGCAAGTTATAGATAGTCAAAAAAACTAGCCAACAAGAGTAAAGGGTTGAAGAATGAGCCCAAGGGTTAAAACCATCAGTGGCAAGACCTAATCGAACATTACGGGGTTCTCTTTTAAAAGAAGGATGCATGCGATCAAAATGTCTCCAAGCTTCTGATTGTGCTGGATGAATGACTTCATTTGTATCACCACAACATTTTAGATGCCATGTCATGTGCTCAGCTGTTTTTCGAGACATGTATAGCCTCTGAAGGTGAGGTATTATTGGCAAGTACCAAAGAGAATTCCTTGGAATGTCCTTTTGTCTTTTCCTTCTTGGATTTCTCTGTTTATACCTCACTTCTCCACAAATTAGACATGAGGTCAATGTCTTTGTAGACTCCCCATAGTATAAAAAGCAGTTGTTAACACAAGCATCAATTTTTAAATAACCTAACTCCAGTGCTTTTATAAATTTTTTTACTTCATAAAAGTTTGCAGGGACTTTTTCCTGATCTTCAGCACTTAACAACCTCCTACATCCTTCGATGATGGCATTAAAAGCACCAGCAGTTATATTATTTACAGTCTTAGTGTGCAACATATAAGAGAGCCAACTAAGCACTATCTCATTTCTATTGGAACTACCAAGCAGTATTGTAGATGCATGAAGCAAGTCATAAAATGCCTTGGCTTGGTTGTTCGGTTCTTCGTCCAGATGTTGATCGGGGAAATTGCCTTCCATTTCCTGATGGTCATCATCCTCTGGACAAAATGCATCATACACCATTTGATGAAAGTCATTCCTTTCATCATGTTGTATATCTTGGCTATGTGATGATTCACCCAAATTAGCAGCAGACCATGGATCTACTGAATTCATAAATGTCTCACCATGTGCCCACCAAATAAAATAAGCATTCATAAAACCATTCTTAATAAGATCATCCCATACCATTTCCCGAGTCATCAATGATAAATTACAACATTTACTGCAAGGACATCTGATTGAATCATTTGGTCCAAGACCAAGACTATTATATGCAAATTGAAGAAAATATTGAACTCCATCATATAACTCATCATATATTTCTCCTTTAGGAGTTCGACGTCTACACATCCAACTACAATCATCCATAATCTTATTAAATTAATAAAACAAAAATAATAACATGATTAGTCTCAAAATAATTAAAATATCTTTCAAATATTTTAAGTTCACTAAGCTAATATATATAAGCATGTGAAATTTATTTTTCAAAAAAATTTATCAAAAAGAAATTATTGAATTTTTATTTAACAGAAAAATAAATATTTAACCATAAAATTATAACAAAATAATGAAAAATGAAACTTAGTGTATAATAAGGTCCACAAGACTGAAATATTAACCTACAAAATAAATATTAACATATTAATTGATATAATTATTAATATATTAATTTATATTTTTTAGCCAACAAATTTAATTATATATACAATTAAATTATAAAATTTGCATTTAAAATTAACATAATAAAACTTAAAACAATGCAATAACAAAATGGTTAAACTCTCAATTTAGTCCCTCAACTATTGCATGGGCTCCAATTTGATCCTTAAACTAAAAAATAGTTAAACTCTCAATTTAGTCCCTCAACTATTGCATGAGCTCCAATTTGATCCTTAAACTGAAAAAATGGTTAAACTCTCAATTTAGTCCCTCAACTATTGCATG